AATTAACTCTACGTACGTGAACTTGTCGCAGGATAACCAATGGCGAAGCCAAAAATGGTATTTTCACTATGGATGTGCTTCATATTGTTATTTGTGTTTTTCAGGATTCTTATGTCGTCCTTTAGTTACGCCAACTTTGGTGCAGAGCAATGAAGCAGAAGATTCAAGTTTAGGATTCCAACATATAATCTCTCGACTTAGTCCTGGTGGACCAGATCCGAGACATCATTGAATCCCGCAAAAGTGATTTCGATGTCTGGAATTTACATTTGGGGATGGGATCTTTTAGTGTTGTTATCGCATCTTTGATCAGAAATAAGTATATGTGCTTAGTGATTTTTCGGATTGTGTTATCGCTAAGTTGTATGCATTTGAATAAGTCGCTATAGCAAAATGTGTCATTTACATCCCTCATTTATGTTTGTTTTCAAAAACAGAAGAGACTTCATGTCTGTTTTAAACAAAACAGACGTGAACTCACGTCTGTTTCTCAGAAACAGACGTGAAGTAACGTCTGTTATGGATAAACAGACGTGAATTCACGTCTGGTTTTTGTAAACAGACGTAAGTTCACGTCTGTTTCACAATAAACAGACATGAAGGGGCTTCGTTTTAAAAAAAAATTTGCCCGGCTGCATCCTATGCTCGCATCAGTACTATCAGATCTGCATGTACCGCGCGCGAAGAACCTCCAGCTCGCAGCTTTCTCGCGCCCAAGTTTCATTTTCGGTCTCTCCCTCTCATTTTCCTCTTGTCCGTGAAGTAGCCGTGAGCTACTCAGTATTTCGGTCTCTCCTCTTCAGCTCTTCAAGGCCGTAGCCCTCCCTCCATTGCGTCGCGCGTTCTGCAGTAGCCGTGTTGCAGCAGCTCGCCGTTGAAGCCGTGAAGATCTGCATGTACCGCGAAGAACCTCCAGCTCGCAGCTAACTTGCCGTTGAAGCCGTGAAGCTGACACGCACTGTAGTCCGTTGATTCAAAGGCATGCCCGAACAGTGAAGGTAAGTTTATTCAACCGTTGCATTGTGGGTTTAGTGTGTTGTGCGTGGGTTTGAGTAGCTTGAGGAGTTTCGAATTGGTTTCTGAGGTTGCTGTTTAAATTTTTACTGAAGAATTGTGTTTAGATAGTTTTAAATTTGTATATATTGATTGGGTAGAAATTTTAAAGATTTCAAACCTTGTTAATCTTGTTAGAAAAATAATGCATACAAGGTGTTTGTCAAAATGCCTAAGAGGGATTGCATTAGATAGTTTGCTATATGTATTGAATTTAGATTAAGGATTGGGTATACATTAAATGATTAATGAAAAAATTGCATTTAGATAAGTTAAAATTTGTTTATATTGATTGGGTAATAGATTTGAAGTTCGAAATCATTTGCTTGGAATTGGCATGATTTATGTTGTAATTGGAATGAATCGGATTCAATTGATATAATTAGTTTTGAATTTGGTTAATGTTTATTGGGACTGTGCTGAATGGAATTAAATTGTTTATAATTCCTTAGGTAGTAACGGAATGGATCATAGTTGGATGAATGCTTTGAGAACAAGTGATGAATATGAGAACGGAGTAGAACGATTTATTGAATTTGCTAAACAGAATGCTCCTAGCAATAACGGAATGTATTTTTGTCCCTGTGTCAAGTGTTTAAATGAGAGGCGACTAAGTGTTAATGATATTAGAGATCACCTGCTTTGTGATGGTATAAATCTTCGATATACAAGATGGATATGGCATGGTGAAGTAGGAACAAGTTCAATACTCGAAGAAGAGGAAGTTATGGATGATGTAAATGATAGAATGAGCGATATGATTCGTGATGTAGGGGTAGAGTTCTTTGTGCGATCACATGCAAATGATAACTTGAAGAGTGATGCAGAGATGCCTTTGTACCCTGGGTGTTCTAAGTATACACGATTGACAGCTGTATTGAAATTGTTCAGTTTAAAAGCAAATAATGGGTGGACTGACAAAAGTTTCACAGAGTTGCTTCAATTGATTAGTGATATGCTTCCAATTGATAACGTTCTTCCAAATCGTGTGTATGAGGCAAAGAAAATCTTGTCTCGGATGGGTATGGGCTATGAAAAGATACACGCTTGTCCTAATGACTGTGTATTATACAGAAAAGAGTATGCTGGTCTACGTGAGTGCCCAAAATGTAAAACTTCACGATACAAGGTGAAAAAGAACATGGACTGTGCTGGTAACTATGATGGTGATGAGACAAGTAAAGGGCAACCTTTGAAGGTGTTATGGTATCTTCCGATAATACCACGATTTAAGCGCTTATTTGCTAATGCAACAGAAGCGAAGAAGTTAAGATGGCATTTTGATGAGAGAATATCAGATGGAAGATATCTTCGGCACCCTGCTGATTCTCCTCAATGGCAGAAAATAGATGAAATGTTTCCAGAATTTGGTCTTGAACCAAGAAATCTTCGCCTTGGGCTTTGTACAGATGGAATCAACCCTTACGGTACTCTTAATAGCACACATAGTGCATGGCCAGTACTGTTGGTGATTTACAACCTACCTCCCTGGTTATGTATGAAGCGCAAGTACATGATGCTTTCTATGATGATTTCAGGACCGAAACAACCAGGAAACAATATCGATATCTACTTGGCACCTTTAATTGAAGATTTGAAGATGTTGTGGGAAGAAGGCGTGGATGTGTTTGATGCATACAAGCAGGAGTCCTTTAAGTTGCGTGCCATGATCTTTACAACGATAAATGACTTTCCTGCATATGGAAATCTATCAGGATACAGTGTGAAGGGGCATAAAGCATGTCCTATATGTGAAGCAGACACATACTTCCACCAACTTAAGCACGGAAGGAAGACAGTTTACCTCGGTCACAGGAGGTTTCTTGATCGGTTCCACCCATACCGGAGATTGAAAAAGGTTTTTAATGGCTCACCAGAGCATGGCATGGCTCCGAAGGCATTAACTGGAGAGGAAGTTTACCAGCGAGTTGAAAGAATCAATGTCATTTTCGGTAAGACTCAAAAAGCTGCAAGTGAGAAAAACATATGGAAGAAGAGGTCTATTTTCTTTGATCTTCCATATTGGCGCAGTCTTGATGTAAGACACAGTATCGATGTGATGCATGTGGAAAAAAATGTGTGTGATAGTCTTATCGGTACTCTTCTGCACATACCTGGAAAAACTAAAGACGGAATTAATGCAAGACTTGATCTGGCTGAAATGGGCATTCGAGAGCGCTTACATCCACAATTGAGAGAGGGTGGTAAGCAGGCTTATATGGAACCTGCGGCCCACACATTGTCTAAAGTCGAAAAAACAAGCTTGTGTCGTGTTTGCATGACATCAAGGTGCCCCAGGGGTATTCTTCTAATGTGAAAAGGCTTGTCTCAATGCACGATTTGAAGTTAGTGGGAATGAAGTCTCATGATTATCATGTACTGATGCAACAACTATTACCCGTAGCTATTCGAGGCACAATGAGAGATGATGTGAGGAGCACTATAACTAGATTATGTATCTTCTTCAATGCTATTTGTAGCAAAGTCATTGACATAGAGAAATTGGACGAATTGGAAAAGAGGGTTATGTTATCTTGTCTCAACTAGAAATGCACTTTCCCCTAGCATTTTTTGATATCATGGTGCATTTGATCATTCATTTAGTGAGGGAGATAAGGCTTTGCGGTCCTATTTTTCTAAGATGGATGTATCCATTTGAGAGGTACATGAAAGTCTTAAAGGATTATTCTAAAAATCCTTATCGACCTGAAGCATCAATTGTTGAAAGGTATGTAGCGGAAGAGGCTATGGAATTTTGCAAAACATATCTATCTATCGCTAAGACACCATCTCGGCATGAAAACGGTACAAGTAAAGGAATCAGGGGGCTGAAGGTAAAGAGTATGGGTCGTGAAGAAGTGTTACAAGCGCACTTATACATATTGAATAATATGGAAGAAGTGCAGTCGTATTTAGATGATCACAAAAAAAGTTTAAAAGAAAAGTATCCAAAGAAAAGTGATATGCAGATAGCTAATGAGCATAACAAAACATTTATAACATGGTTCAGTGAAAAAGTTTTGAGAGAGGCCAATGTATCTGATACAATAAAATGGTTAGCTTGGGGTCCTTGTTTTGAAGTTATCACTTGGAGTGGATACGACATAAATGGATATTCCTTCTACACAAAAGCTCAAGATGACAAAAGTACTGTGCAGAATAGTGGGGTAATGGTGGTTGCTGAAGCGATGCATTTTTCGAGTTCGAAAGATAAAAACCCCAAATTGGCATCTATGGCTTATTATGGAGTTATTGAAGAGATATGGGAGGTAAACTACACCAATTTCAAGATTCCTGTCTTCAAATGTAAATGGGTCAACAACAATAGTATTGAAATAGATCAACAATTTGGATTTACATTAGTTGATCTTGGCAGGGTTGGTTATGCAGATGAGCCCTTCATTTTAGCAAGCCAGGCAAAACAAGTATTTTATGTTACTGATCCAGCAAATAAAAAATTGTCTATTGTCCTTCAAAGTAAAAAGCAGAAGGACAGTGATCCTACCATGAATCTTGATGAGACACCACCTTTTGCTTCAAATCCGCCTAGACCAAGTGAAGTAGAATTGGTAGATAATGATGAATATGCTGCAAGAGATGATCATTGTGAAGGGATATGGGACAATGCATAAAGTCAGATTAAGTAATGTAATTTTGCAACGTACCTTGTGTTATTTTCTTTCATTTATTTCATAGCAATGTACTTGATATTATTTATATATTAATACAATTCACTATAATTTACTTATTTATCTAATTTTGGTTTTTCAACAGGCACATGGAGGAGGATTTTGATGCCAATATGGAGGAGGGTTGTGAGAGAGATATGGAGGAGGATTATGACATCGATGATGTCAATCAGCAGGAAGGAAGGAAGGTTAGAGGTAGTACAAGGCTACCAAAGTTAGCAGTACGTCATGGTCGTATTCAGAAGAGGCATGTGGATTTTGATGCCAATATGAATCCAATTGGTGAAGAGAAGGACAGATTCATTAGCTATATAGGCTCCGTTGCCCGAAGCAAAGTTAATATTCTATGGCCTAATTGGAAGTCAATTTCTAAGGAGACGAAGGATAGGATTTGGGAATATATTTTGGTATGTCACTTTCTAATTTTATTTCATTTGTTTTATTGTAAATATAGTTATAACTAAGATCTTTAACTCAAACATATATATTTTTCTTTGCAGCAAACGTATGACATCCCTCGTACTGAGCAAATGAAAAAGCATTTGTTGCAGCAAGTTCGTCAGCGCTGGAAAGATTTTAAGCACACACTCACGAGCCAGTATGTGCGAGGGCCTAAGAAAGATGATGATCCGTGCGAAAAATACTCCTTCCTTGATCCAGATGATTGGAGGAGGTTTGTGGCATCACGGCATGATCCTAAATTTCAGGTACATTGCCTTATAAAACATTTAATTTTGATTTGATTTACTTCACTTACTCAATTTACTTTGTTTTCTTTTTCACAGGAATTAAGTGCGATGAATAAAGAAAGGCAAGCTAAAAATTTATATCCGCACTATTTATCCCGTGGAGGTTACAAGATGCTTGAGGAGAGGATCATGCAGAATGACTTTAAGGCGATGCAGGAAGCTGCAAAATCTGATCCTAGTATCGTTGTTCAGACCCCACCTCCTCCTCCACGTCATAGAAAATGGAAGGAAGCAAGGATGAAGAAGGGTCAATATATTAATCCAGCAGTTGCTGAGATTGCTAAAAAAATTGTAAGTTGTATAATTCAAATAACTTTAACTTATGGTAATATTTCTTATATTTTATCATTAATTTTCATTTATACTGTCATTAATTTTTTATCATACTTAAAATGTTATAGGAGGTACTTGAAGAGCAAAGCAGTGAAGGTTCATTTAGTCCGAGTGGAAGGATGGACATTTTAGCGACAGCGATTGGGAAGCCTGATCACCCCGGACGCGTTAGAGGAGAAGGGAGGACAGTTGGTCTTACCCAATATTTTGGACAAACTTCACGAGCTTCTCTACGAAGTCAGCCCACTGATGAGATGATAGCTAAACTTCGAGACCAAGTTCGTGATGAGCTCCAATCTGAGCTAGAGGTCAAGATTGAGGCCCAGTTACGCCAGTCACTTCGAAAAGAGCTTATGGCTGAGCTTCGTGATGAGATGAAATCTATGGTCTCTAGCATGCAAATTGGGACAGTTCAACAACAATGCACACCCCAGGTTTGTAATCAATTTCACTTAAATTGATGTTGAGTTTTACCAACGTTTTTTATTTAATTTAATACTGCATTTCTCTCATTTAGGATTCCCCCGTCTTTCCTAGCACTAAAGACAGTTGTAATCCACCGGGGGCATTGGGAGAGCATGATCCTAGTAGTCCCACGCCGGACTTTGGACAACCTTGTTGTCTTCGTTTAGAGGTCCCAAGGATGCGTGTTGTTGCTGACGCTCTCCTCTACAATCAAGGGAGCACTATCCATCACCAACATATTCAAGAGGACCAAGTGAGGGTTACAGTTACGACTGTTCGAGAGGGAGAGACAGGTGCGGATGTGCCATTCCCGACTGCTGAAGTTGTGAAGTTAGGTCAGGCAATTGGAACTTTCATTCTTTGGCCTAGACACCTTGTTGATGAGGAGATAATACCTGTGATGGTAAGAAAATGTTATTCTATATTGTGTGCATTTTTTTAACATAATACTTATAATACTTATTATGTTTATTTGATGTTTCATTAGGACCAGGAAGATGTTAATAGATATCCCTGCTTGGCACAATTATATGAGGAATATAAAACAATTAACAAGGTCGACATAAAGATGCCTGTAGGGATTGTGGGTGAAGAAAAATCATATTTCTTTGGACTTGACAACAAAGACATCAGGGATTTCTTATCCTTGAAGGAGTTGGACATAGCATGGGTTCAATTAGCAATCATGTAAGTTTACTTTTCATTTCTAACTTAAATTTCTCATTTCTTACTTTCACATACTAATAATTATCTTATTTCAATTCAATGATAGCTTCTTCCATAACAAATGCATGTCATCAATGGAGAAGAGAAATTTGTATGGATATTTATGCCCTGCAAGTGTCCAGAAGAAGTACAACCCACTAGATAGGAGAATCAGATATGTGGGCAATACGATTGGAGACACTAAATTACCTTGTTATTTGGCACCAATTATTGAAGGGCAAGTAGCTTAATTATATTTATTTATACATACTTAATTGTTAAGAATTATTGTGATATCCAGTAATGTATAAGTCTTACTCTATGATGCAGTTGTCATTGGAGTTTGTGTGTTTCTTGTCCCATTGACAATGTCATCTACTGGTTTGATCCCTTGGGTCGTCGTCCAAGCAGTGAGATGAGGGGCGTTTTCAACACGTAAGTACCTTAATGTAGATCAATAATTTTGTTTTCAATATAAATTATTTAACTTGTGCTTTCATTTGCTTATAGGGCTTTAAAGACTTATTATATAACCGGTGGGAAGCGTTCCGGCAAAAATGGCTCAACAACTTGGGTATATCCTAGTGTGAGTACTTTAAATTGAAGTTCTTTCATTGATGACAGTTATTTTATATATGAATTTGGATTATCATTTCCTTGTGATTTGCAGTGTGCTAAGCAACAAGGGCCAACAGAGTGCGGATATTACATTATCCGTTATATGTTTGAGATTATTGAGAGCGGATGTATCACAAAATTTGATGAGGTAAGTAAATATAATTTTAGTTTTGTAATAGTTGAATTTTTAAATTGAATTGTTACTTATTTTATTTTCTTCCTATGTTTAAATTTGTTCATTTGTCAATTTACAGATTTTTGATAATGATTGTTCATATACTATTGATGACATTAACTTCATCCGAGACCTTTTGGCACAGCAACTGCTTCAAGAATTGTGGTCCAGGGATTGATCAAGTTTATGTTTAGAGACAATAGGATCAATATTGACTTTTGTAATTTGTTCTTCTTTTTTGACTAGTTAGTTAATTAATGTGTCTATATAGATGAAGTTATGATGTTGATATATCTTGGCTGAAAATATTGACTGGTTCATACTATTTCAACTTGCTGGAAAGTGGCTATTATGGCTATTGTGTGGCTGTAGGAGAAGTAGTATATACGAATTGAATCTTTTTTTAAAAAAAAACAGAGGACATTCACGTCTGTTCAGCGAAACAGAAGTAAAAAAATGATTTTTTACTTCTGTTTGAAAAAACAGACGTCAATTCACGTCTGTTTTATTATAAACAGACGTTAATGCACGTCTGTTTATTGAGAGAACAGACGTGAATTCACGTCTGTTTTTTCTAACAGACGTGAATTAACGTCTGTTCATAACAGAAGTAAAAAGGGGGTGCTTTTTATGTCCCTTCTTTTCATTTCCCCTGCAAAACAGACGTAAAAAGTCATGCAAAACAGAAGTAAAAAGTCTTCATTGTAGTAGTGAGTAAATAAGAGACTGTCCTATGTTCGATCCCCTCTACTTTTTATTATTCCTTTAATACTACTTCCCTTATAAGACCTAATTAACTAATTTGAGTAAAAAGTAAAAACGACAAACTAGAAAGGAGCATTAGGTTATTTTCTTCAAATACTATACTTATGATGCCAACAAAGGGGTACTTAAATGGACAAAAATTTTTAGTGCTTCGTATGAGAGGTCAATATAAGGTAAAAACAAGATAATAGGGATTTGGATCTCCTTTTTGTCACTTTCTTCTCCTCCCACCTATATCGTTGCATATCAGAAAAATGAATGGTTGAGGATAGACTCGGAAGAAAGTCATTTTAATGTACAATATGTCATTATGGTCACTAAAAAGCACGTATAATGTTATTACAACCGGATCAAATAATGAATCGGGGATGTAACTGGTTTGGAACTTTATACTAGTCAAGAATCAAACAAATGGGCAAACAATACATCTATTTTTTGATAGTTTTATGGGAAGCAGAATTATTCCCGCGCCTAACTGCTGATAAATAGCTTTTTCACTTTGTTAATACATATGTATCTTCCTATTGAATATAACCCTATTCGAAGTGCTAAAAGTGGGTACATCTTCTAGTAAGGATAAAAACTTGGTAGATTATTAATCCTATTCACTAAAACCAATCTTTAGTGATTTCTTTTTAATTACCAAAGTATAGGCATTCTCTTATTAGAGATAATACTATTTGAGACACTATTGAGTACTAAATGTAGACAATTCTCTTAACAGGGATTCGAACTTTAATTTGTCATATTGTGAGGAATTAGTTTTTTCTGATAGATTCAACCCACGTTGATATCTTTGGTGATTTATGGATAGTTTTATGTAGTAATGCAAATCTTACCCATCTAAGCATTATCGGGCTTAGCCTATTAACATTGGGCTGGCTCATTTTCCAACTCTAACGTGAAGCAACGAACCACGAAAGCCCAAGTGAGCCTGTAAAAGAAATTGATTTTTTATGTGCGGGTCTGCAGTTCGAGGTATCGTTTTGTCATTCGGTTCTTCCACATAAGAAGCCACTTCCTAATCGCCGGTGGAATGCTTTGAACACGCGCAAATAACTTTGCGTCAGAAATCAACTAAGAACCATATCAAATGGACCTGAACTAATTCCCTGGAACCTTTTAAATCGCATGCTGAATCAATTAAAATAAGTATTTCAAACCGCCGCATTTTAGCTTTCATCTGTTGACAAGAAAAATTATATATATTAAAATAAAGCTTTTAAAATTCCCATCTCAGAGCTTGAAGAATCAAGAGCGATAAAAGTTGTATCATAAAGATTTGCAGCTTTCCGTTTTAAAATGTTCGCAGCCTCTGCACGAACTTGTCATAAAAATTATATATGTTCAGTCATATCAGTAAAGGAGTTTAATATTGCAATCATTCTGAGCATGAAAGGAACATAGATTAAGCACACGAGCAGCTTATTAATAGCAGTGCCCTTTGACGGATGATCTACGTTGATAAGTTGAATAATGACTTTGACATGCATGCTTTTGTATTTAATTAGTTCAATATGCATGCACAGAGAAAGAATATCTCAAAATCTTTGAATTAAATATTCTCAAATCTCTAGTTCACTTGTTTATATTTCCTCTATATATGTGTGTGTGTGTGTGAGCAAGTTTTGCAGTTCTGATCTTCATCTGTACATGCCAAGTTTCTTTCAAAGAATTAACTTGCAGAAAAGAAATAATGGCGAAGGCAAAAATGGTGTTTTCACTGTGGATGTGCTTTATGTTAGTGTTCATGTCTTTTTCAGGGTTCTTATACCGTCCTCTTGTTACGCCAACTTCAGTGAAGAAAAATGCAGCCGCGGAGCCAGGTTTAGTGTCCAAACCTCAAATCTCGAGACTTAGTCCTGGGGGACCAGATCCCAGGCATCATTAATGAATCCTATAGTGTTGGAAATTAAGATACGATCATCTGCACTCAGTGTTCTACTTTCTGTTTGTCATTAAGTTTTATGTATTTGAATAAGTCTATAACAAACTGGGCTTTACGAGTTCGTCCTCTATTTTTTCATTAATTCTTTTGGTTTAAAAGAAAATAAGGAATGAGACTCCAAAAGTTCAATTTAGTAACGATTAATAGTTTCAAAAAAATTTTTAGAAGTGAAAAATATGGATACAAAAATTTGTAAATTTTGAGTTCTTAATTATATCTCTTAAAATAATCTATTAAACTTAAATGCC